AGATCTAGTTGCAGCCTGTCCCTCTCCTCTAGCGCGCCCACTTCTCCCCACATCTTAATGTCATCCGCGAATTTGGACAAGGTGCTTTTCACCCCCTCATCCAAGTTGCTGATAAAGATATTGAACAGCGTGGGCCTGAGGACCAAGCCCTGGGGGACCCCACTGCCCACATCCCTCCAGGTCAAAAATGACGCATCCACCACCACTCTCTGGGTGCGGCCCTCCAGCCAGTTTGCGACCCCGTCTGACCATGTAGGCATCAACACCCCAGTCACCTAATTTCTTAAGGAGAATAGGGTGAGAGACAGTGTCTCTCCTAGACGGTGCCTTCCTAAAGTCCAGAAAGACTATGTCCACTGTGACACCTGTGTCCAAGGATTTTGTGACCTGGTCGTAGAAGGCCACCAGGTTGGTCTGACAGGATCTGCCTCAAATGAACCCATGTTGGTTGCCCGTAACCATGATCTCCCCTGCTGGTCCCTCACAGATGTGCTCCTGGATAATTTTCTCAAAGAGCTTCCCCAGGACCGAGGTAAGACTAATGGGCCTGTAGTTTCCTGCATCCTCCTTCCTCCCTTTTTTGAAAATGGGGACCACTTTGGCCCTTTTCCAGTCCTCTGGCACCTCACCAGAGCACCATGAGTACTTATAAAGCTGTGCCAGGGGTCCTGCAATGACCTCTACTAATTCCCTCAGCACTCTGGGGTGGAGATCATTAGGACCTGCTGCTTTGAACACGTCTAGTCCCTCCAGGAGTTCCCTGACTAGGTCCTTGCTGACCCTGGGCCTGACAGCGCCTCCCCTGAGTCTGTCAGGGATCCCGGTGGGGGGGATGACCTGGTCCCTGCTCAAAAAGATGTAGGCAAATAAATTGTTAAAGAGATTAGCTTTGTCATATGGTGTGACCACCAGATTTCTTAGTGTATCCTGCAGAGGCCCTACATTACCCGGTACCTTCTTTTTACCCCCTATATATTTTAAAAAGGACTTCTTGTTATCCTTGATTTATCTGGGTCACCTAGTCCCAGTTGCATCTCTGCCTTAGCCTTCCTAATAGCCCCCCTACAGTCTTGAGCAATGGAGGTATAATCCTCCTTGGTGGTAGCCCCTCCATTAACACAGGTTAATGTGTTCTGCTGCAGGCCTGTGTCTTTCTGGAACTGATGTCAAATCTATTCGTTGACTTTTTCATGCAGGGATTGCTCTTTGTCCAATGTAGACAACAGAGGTTCTGCCTACCTGTTTATCACCACTTACAGGTGATAAACAGGTAAGTTTTTATATGATGTTAGCAGAAGTGCAGGTAAATGAACGCAGGTGTTATAATCCATATTATTTGATCCAGTGATCATTGTGGACTGTGTTGATGAGAGGGCACAGCTGGCATCTGGGTCCATTGCAAGGTCTGGTGCCTTGGGGATAAAAGGAATTAGGTAGCTTGTTGCTAGAGAGATCTTTGCAAGGGGGGTTGTTAGTGGGGGGTTGTCTGTAAGCCAGGACAGACCTGTCCCCTGTTGTTACCTTGAAGATTGTAATTTTGCCAGGAGAGGTTGGAGTTCATTAATAATGCATCCGAGGGGTTCAAACTTGGGGCCGTAAGTGACAACCAGAGGGATTCTTTTGCTCTTGACTGGGAGTTGGTGTTGTAGTAGGGTCTGAGTCTGGCTCTATTAATTTGAGTGGTCATGGTTTTGGAATTGTATTGTATGCTAGACTTCTGTTCCTTTAGGTGTTCTTCTCAGTTGGTAAGATCGGAGCAGATATGGTTGTAATGTAGAACTTGACTATAGATGATGGATTTAGCAGTCCACTTGAAAACTGGTGTCATGGAGGTAGCTGTAGATGTTGTTTGGTATCCAATACAATGTGGTGGTGCTGTTGCAAAGTTGCACAGCTGTGTCCAGGCCTGATCAGCTGATGAGGTTCCCAGTGAGGGGTGCCTCTCACCACCTATTCAATTAATGGTGTGATACGAATTAGCCACAATTTTTTGTACACATTTTTGTGGCTTATTTCTTCTTTTATCATGCCATTAATTGATTGAATATGTGGCTGGGTCATAACTTAAAATGTGATTAACTGGTTAATCGTGTCTAAAGTGTAACATGTGGCACGAGCCTAAGATACTTTAGGGAGATGAGAGGGCAGCTGTGGAGAAAGGGGACTTGAAAATCTGTCATAAATATATTGGCATATTGGGGGGCCATACATGTGCCTCTCTCTTTCTGGAGGTAGCATCTTTAAGAGGTCACTTAGTTTCTTCTGGTATTGTGCCATGGGGGTCCCTGGTAAACTCCCTGGTAGGAGTTTGTAAAACTTGGTGTCAGAAAATTGTTTCTGTTTCCTGTATGTGTGGTGTTTTGTCCACGATAATGGTGGCACCCCCTTTATAAGCCTGTCTGTATGATAATCAGGGCTGTTTTTGTCTGAATATGGCTCGCTGTTCCACAAGACTGAGGTTGTAACATGAGCATTGTTGTTTTTTGGTAATCTCAGAATAGGTGCAGAAACAGAAACTTTATATAGAGGTCCAGAGCAGGACTGTGGCACTCGGGTGAAGTCTAGGGGCAATCCTTGTGCTGTGTATGAGTCAGGCCTGTGGCAAGTTGATCATTTCATGGTTTCTTATTACAGTAATATTGCATTAGTCTTAGGTGGTGGAAAAAAGCCTTGAGTTCTCCATACAGGAAGGAAAAAAGCTGCACCATACTGAGTTGTGTAGTGGGGCAGAAAGAAAGACCACAGCATAATACAGAGCCAGGCTGAGTGCACTTAGCTCAGTACAGAGCAGTAAGGCAACTGAGAATTTACCTCCTTGCGCTGTAGCTAAGCACAAACAAGCCTGTGCTTGGCTTCTCATATTGGGGAAGGAGTGGAGGGGAGAAGCGAGGACTTTGTTCCTCACACAGCAACTTGCAGGGACAAGTGCAACTTACTTTCTTGCACTGGAACCAGGCAGAGAAGAGACTGTATTTACCTCCTTACATAGGGGTTAGGTGGGGAAGAGCATGTGCTTATCTCTTTGTACCCCATGGTACCCTCAAAAGGATCTTGCAGCACCCCATTGTGCTGAACACCCCTGTTGAAAAGCACTGATCTGTAAGGTGCACCTGTGCTCAGCCTTCTGCCTGACTTCAGATCAAAATGGATCACGATTCAAGTCATTCAGAGATCTTCCCAAGGGCACTCAGAGGGTGGGGAATTGAGGATGAGAAGTTTAACTCTTTGATAACTAAAACAGAAGAAATTTTTTAAGTAGCGTAATTCTTTTCTATGGCATTGGGGAACAAAAGCTCCAGTTTTGGTTCAGTTCATATTTTTAAGATCTCAAGCTCAGTCATCACTAAAGACATTATACTGAGTGTAGGTTTAAGCGTCTTAAGTTCATCTAAGTCACTGTTTGTCTTAATGTCTAATTTTGTGTTAAGAATTAATAATAGAAGATTATTACATTTTTCTAGGTAGAACAGCTAAGTTCTTACAGTCCATTCTACTATGTCTCCTCTTAGTAGCTAATACATATGTTATCTTATGTTTCTCCGACTTGATTTAAGACCCACTAAATTTAATAGTAAACTTGCTACTATGTATTTGTGAGTGAAAGGTTTTGTGTAGGCACTAATTTATGAGATTAATTGCAATTTTGAGGGGCGCTCATTTAGACTCGCTGAGCTTTCCAGGTCTATAAATGAATGCTGTTTTAGTACCCCTTTTCTTTTTCTGTTGTTCACTTTTAGTCCTCTTCGCTTCCTCTTATTTGGCAGAATTAAAAAGGCATTGGACAGAAAAATGCTTTCTTTGATATAATTAGCTTTGCGTGTGTGTGTGCACGCGCACATGCGTATACACACATACATACACGTGTGTCCTTAAAAACAGTGGACAGACAATACCAATACCAAACCAAGGTAACCAAACTCATTCACTAGATAATTACCCCTAAAAGAATCAAGAAAAAACTGTCAGTTTGCCTATTAACACCTAAAAGTTAAATTACTCTAGGTTACGTTCGTCCTTGTCCATCCTGGGACATCTGCTAAAGGCAGAAAAGCTACTAAGTGCTTCAAATTTGAAAATGATAATTCAAACAAAATGAGATATTATAAAAGGAAACGGCCCTCATCCAGTATATTGTATGTTAATGCTTACTTGTATAGTAGTAGAATTTTCCTTTGGTCAGCACCCAAAACATGGAAATCTCACAAACTTTGCTCTGATCTTTATTTAAAAACAAGAAAATTACAGAATCAGGAGAGGTTTGAAATAAGAATAGTTTCTCCTTCCCCCTGCAGCCCACACACTGTGTGGGTGTGTACCAGCTTGAACAGCCTCCCTGCAGCTACTGGAATTAATTACTGGAATAAATGTGACCTTTTAATATCATATTATCAAGGGTTGACAGCAGCTTTTCTTTTTCTTTTTTTTTTAAACAGATGTCTTTAATTAGGTCCTGCATAAATAGCGATTATTTTGATAACTTGTAGGCAAGATCATGGTAGACTTAATAAAAATCCAGAGAATATTCCCTATGTAAAATAATCTGATGGTTTGAATTTTGAACATTAAACAAATTACTACCTGTTTAAAAGGGGCTGAAATTTAAATTTCTTCTTTTCCTACCTCTACTCTCTGCATTTGGATTAAAAAAATTGCTCGCTATCTCTAAGTTTTGGCACTGTATGTATATATAAATAACCTTTCCCATTAAAAGAATAACTGGATACTTAGCTTGTATGAGGTACTTTATTTAATAGACTTAATCACTTGGCTTAAAACACCTCTACATGTTTATCATTATTGACTGTCTTTAGCTAATACACATTGCATAATGTCAAGAGGAAGACAGGATTTCCTTTTGAAGAAAAAAACAATTTTAAACTGACCTGTTTTTTCTTTTTGTTTCAGCAGCTAAACTCTACCTCACAGAATATCAACCTGGGACCATCTGGAAATCCTCAGTAGGTTTTAGTTAATTATAAACCAAAAGTCAGTCTAGACTTTAATTGTTAATTATATGAAAAGCCCCGCTAGATATGTGCACTTATTTGCTCATTTTTCAACTTGGAAGGAAGCAAAGGTTCTAACTTGGTACTAAGTAAATATTGTAATGCATGTTAGCTGTATAGTTTTCCATTAATCTTCATCAAACAAGTCTGAGAAACTTGTAGTATTGTTTGTACTACAAAGTTAAACAGTGAATTGGATACCTTCCTTTCCCACCCTAGAGAACCACTAGGGCTGCTGAGGTCTTGAAAAAGCAAGTTCCTTTTACATTTTTCCTTCCTATTCTCCCTTCACTTTTGTACCAAAAACGTGTAAAAAAAACCAAACAAACCAGTTTTGTAATCCACTATACTGCAAATACTGGTGAGAGAGATAATATGCTAGTGAGAAGACATAGCATTCCACTGACTTGGAAAGCAAGGAGACATAAAACTGCATATACCCATGTAAACTTGCTGTACTTTCCAGTCCTTTGATTTTTCTCTGTACGGGGCGGGGTGGGGGCACCTGTGGGAACAGAGTTGGCCCTTGACAGTATCCACAAAGCTCCAAGCCTTGGCTTGCTGCTGTTAATTTCTTCCATCTGTTGACTCCCAAGCAACATTTCTACCTGGTAGAGAAAACAAAAGGACTATATTTCTTCATTATAACTTCCAGGATAAATGTATTTTGGTCTGAGAATACATGACAGTATGTGCCCTGCAACACAAGTTGTCTTCCATAGTCCATCTTCTGTTAGCATAAACTTGTGTTCATGTTGCACTACTGCAAAATAATTTTAAGTGGGCCAGTATAGGGTAAGCGGTTATCCATGTTTATATGAGAAACTAGCATATGCAGTCAGTATCTTTCCTCTCTTCCTGACACACTCGGTGTGGTTCCTAGTTTCTCCCCTCAGCCAGCTTCCTCACTTTTTCCCTAGTCCTCCCTTCTCCTGACCCTTGCAAAACAAACAGAAAAAGCAAACATAGCCAACCACTCCAATGAACTTAATGTGGGATGGTAGAGGAGGAGAAATTATAGACAAATAGGGACTATGATCTTTCAAGTGATCTTTTTTTTTTCCCTTGTACTCTATTTGAGTTCTAACATTTTGATTGCATTTCCCTGGAAGAGAAAAGGAACAGAGAAGTGAGATGGGTCTAACCATGGGTCATAGTAAGAGGGTGTCTAGGGAATCTCCTTGCAAAGAGCAAGTCGTAAGTGGACATGGGGCAAAGGGTAGGAATGCACAATACTCCTTTAGATATGATGTCAGGCTACTGTGTAGAACTGTAAAGTTGGTACCTTCTGGCTGAATAACCTACTTTCTTCCTGGCTTCTTTCAGTGCTAAACCAACAGACTTTGACTTCTTGAAAGTTATTGGGAAAGGAAGCTTTGGCAAGGTGAGCTTTCATATTAAATCTCATCCTGGCAGTAGTTGTCAGTCCACCAGCAGCACCAGCAAATAACTGGGAAGGTGCTTCAAGTCATTTGTGGATTCAGTGCATGGTTTGATAGAGGGTCTCTACCACTACAGCAGTTTCTTCATGCTATAGTTGTTTGGGGCCTGTAACAAACACTTGAAAGAAGTATTAACAGGATTCTCCCTTCTGTTGGGAGAACAACAATCCATTCTACCTCTGCTTGGTCTCCAAGTGTTGTTCTGTCTGCTGAGCAGGTGGGCTGAATTTACCAAACATTGCTGGCAAATAGTTTCCTGCCACTGCCACCTTGGATCCTCCTAGAGCAGCAAGTCTTGCTGTAAACATCTTACAATGATAGATGGAGCACTTCACCCTGCTTCAAGTTATTCAGACTATTGGGAGGTGGGGTGGAGGTGGGCAGGGATATCATACTTTCATGTATTTCTTTATGGAATAGAATCTTGTATTAAAAAAAAAATAAAATAAAATAGAAGCCCTCATTTGATTCCAAAAGTGGGAGATTTAGTCTTGGGCCTCTACCATAATGTAACCCTGCATGAGGTAGCCATAATAACACTTGCAGTTCAGTAGGAACTGCAAAACCTTAAATTCTACTGTCTGGGAATGTTCTCCTTTTGCTGATTTAAGCTGCTAATGGCTGAACTATTTGAAAGGCAACGGAATTTGTACTTTGGCCTAATTGTGTTAAGGAACAAAAACAAATAGTTTTGTAGGAAAAAAACTATAGTAACAAGCTAATCTTTTTTTTTATTGTTATTATTATAGGTTCTTCTCGCAAAGCGAAAACTGGATGGGAAATATTATGCTGTCAAAGTGCTGCAAAAGAAGGTTGTTCTCAACAGGAAAGAGGTAAAGGGAAATACATTTTTTTTTCTTTTTTTTCCCCTTTAGTTACAGAATTGTTCCTATTTACTTATTGACCTTTTACTTCCTTACAGCAAAAGCATATTATGGCTGAACGTAATGTGTTGTTGAAAAATGTGAAGCATCCATTTTTGGTTGGATTACATTACTCATTTCAAACAACAGAAAAGCTTTATTTTGTTCTGGATTTTGTTAATGGAGGAGAGGTGAGCATTTTTTGTATTGCTTTTTTGGGTCTCCTTGTTCTGCTAATATACAGGAGAAAAATCTGTTCTACAATAGATTAATATTAGTGTTCAGTAAATTAAAATCCTATTGAACTTGCTCATTACAATTAAAGAAGTTGAAGCTATTAAAATCTACAGCAACATAGAATTCATTGTTCATAAGATTATCTTCAGAAGTCACTTACGAAAACTTTTAATGTTAACATTAATGCACAGCTTTAATCCAAAATTTTTCCTTGGTTGTAGAAGCTATTCTTTCTTTTTCCTCTTTTTTTTCTTCTTTTCATACATTGCTATAAAGAAAATATACTTCTCTGAATGTTTATATGTTGCTGACTTTCTTCAGCACTTATAAGTATTCTTTCTTTTTTCATTGAAGTTTAGATACCAAATTCTTGAGCAGTTAAAAGGTTTTTTGGCAGACTTAACCGATTAATTGAATTGACTTGTTAAGAGTTACTGTGCCACTGCATCCATTCCATAGCTTTGCATGCCATAATTAAGACTTAACTATTATACCCTTGTCATCTGCAGCATTCTTGTCTCTCTGAATACCACTAATGCATCTGAAGAGTCATTAGTAACTTAAGGAGGAACCTGTTAAAATGTATAGGCTTCTGGCATCACTTTCACAAGGTACTCTGGAGCATATTGATACTTTAAAAAAAAAAAAAAAAGAAGTATCAAGTCTCCAGGCCTAGGTGTGTGTGTGTGTGTGTGTGTGTGTGTGTGTACGTGTACACACACACACAGAGCCAAGAGTATGGGATGAGCTCAAGTAGAAAGTGACTGTGGGCCTTTGTACATGCCACAAAATTAACCTTTGAAGCAGCTTGAATGCCCTTTTGCATTCTTTAATGGCTTCGCTCTTTGCATATTTGGTGGCATATTCCACTTTAATGGTGTTGCTGTTTGCATGCTCAGCCGTGTATTCCACTTTAAATGACTTTGGTATGTAGTAAGATAAAACACCTCCAAGGTGTTTTAGTTTGCTACCTAACAAAGTACAATAGTGCACAGGGCTCTGGAAGCTGATATGCTTGGGGTTTAGCGGGCCCCATGTAGCTCAGAGGCTGTGGGACCTGGTGGCAGCCCATGAAGGCAGGCTTCACTGAATTGTGGCGAGCCTGATCTTTTTTTCCCCCTCCCCGTAGCCTGCCTGCCTGCCTTCCTGCCTGAGCTATGCGGGGGCTCAGTGCTTCCCTTGGCAGCTACAGTGCCTCCTGGGACTGTCCAGGTTGGGTGCCAGCAAGCGGGTGCTGTGTTAGGGACCCCTGTGCAGCTCAGGGACCACTCAGCCTGCCAGCAGCTCGCCCCCTCTCCCCCCCTCCCCCTCCAACCACTGAAGAGGCAGGTAAAGATCACCCTTGTGTACACACCACGGGAGTTTAGTTCAGTTTAATTCTCCCTAAATTGAAGCAGTGTTTTTAAAAAACAGCCATTTCAATTTAGGGAGAACTAAACTGAATTTAAACCCTTGTGGTGTGTACAGGCAACCTGAGCACCTAGTTAACATTAGAGCAGCTGTATACAGACAGTCCTTGACTTACAACTTTTTGAGTTGTGATGAACGTCACTTATGATGTTTATAAGTTGACAACCTGTTCTGACGTGGGTTTAGTCTTTGTGATGGTTACTACTGTGTGCAGCTGGTAAGTGAGGGAGGAGGAACGGAAATGGGGGGCAGATCAAGGCCCCTGCAGTGAGGGAGGACTGGGACTGAGGCTGGGGTAAAGGCTGCCCAGCTGGGCCTGGGCGGATGTGAGACTGAACTGCGGCTCATCAGGGGGGTGTGGGAAGGGAGGGGGGCAACAGCTCCCACTGCTGCATGCCGCTCATCTGGTGGCTCGACCGGCAGTTACTGCCACTGCTCCTACCACTAGTCTGAGAGGGCATGGGAGGGTGTGTGCCCCTCCCAGATCTGCAGGGGTGGGGTGGACAGGGCCGGGGCTGCACCAGGCTGTGCTCCAGGTGGGCAGCAGGAGCTATGGTGAATTTTCAGGTGGCTGCAGCCTCCTCATAGCCCCTGCTCCACCTCCTGCCCCACCCTGATCCGGGGGCACATGTCCCGCCATGCCCTCCGGCCACTTGCCCAGCTGGGGCAGGACAGGCATGGAGCAGAGCTGCTATGCTGCCTCCAGACAAGCAGCGTGTAGATGTGGGAGCTACCCCACCTTCTCCTCACCCCCCTTCCAGATGAGCCAAGGCTTTGAGTGTATGGGGGGAGCATATGCCCCCAGATGGGGGCGGGGTAGGCAGTGGAGCGGGGACTGGGAGGGGCTGCAACCATCCAAAAATTTGCTGTAGCTCCTGCCACCCACCCGGAGCACAGCCCAGTGCAGCCCCTGCCCCACTCCTTGCAGATACGGGGGGCACACACACCCCTATGTCCTCGTGGACCAGAGGCAGGAGCAGCGGCAAGAACCGCTGGTCGAGCTGCCAGATGAGCAGCGTGCAGTGGTGGGAGCTGCTGCCCCTCTCTCCCCATGCCTGCCTGGCCCCAGTCCCTCCCCTCCCCCCACACCCCTTCCCTTTTGTCTCAGTTTCTACCACTTACCAGCTGCATGCAGTGCCAACCGTTGTAAAGGAACCAATCCCCCATTTGTAACACTATTCCTGTGGGAAAATTGGTTCTGAGTTGTGACATTTCCACTTCAGATGAGGTTTTCAGGAACGAATTGTCGTAAGTCTGAGGACTGCCTGTACTTACAAATGTTGCAGAGGATTAAAGGGTAACAGGTCTTGTACGTATATTTTTAAAGGTTCTAGGTGTGATTTTAGGAAGTACAGATTAAATTAGCCATCTACATCTGGCAAATTGATTTAAATCATCAAAAACAGAATAACGGACCAACTGAAGAATTATGAGAATTAGTCGGCATGTTAGCTGCAAAGGAAAACTGGCTGTTGTGATCTTTGAGTATTCTCTGAACATGTCAACCAGTTCTTCTTTTGTGACATAAAATTTAGACTTTCAAAGGGCCTTTGATCAGGCTTGGCACAAGAGGCTGTTAATTAGAACTTTGGGGTTAGGGATAGACATTCAAAAAGCCTCAGTTGAATTGATTCAGTCTTTGCAGGTTAGCCTAACCTGGCTAGGTTGAACCAGTTTGTAACAAGACAGACATTATCTCTGGGCTGAGGAAATTCAGGCATATGCCTGAAGTGACTCAGGCTAGAATCCAGAGGGTGCTAGAGCAGTCCTCCCTTCTATTGCACAATGCTGAGCTGAGGGGGGGGCACTTTGATTAGGGAGGTCTGCTTGCACCATCCCAAGTTTTTCACCATCTCAAGGGATGGAGGTGTTGCCAGACCCCAGCCCTCTGCTGGTACTCTAAGGCAAGGGGGGAGGGTGCAGTGCATGCATCTGTTGATGATACAGAGCTTTTTAATCTCCCTTCCTGCTTCTTTATATTGTCTGCAGCAAACTGACAGGCAAGCAAGCCAGCAAGGGGCTGATAATGGTGTTTATCACCCCAGCAGCAAAACAATTGCCTCTCCATTAGTTCAAACTCTTCTTAAACAGCTTACCAGCTGACCTGTTGATTAGCTCCAAAAAACTCTAAGTGGTCAGTGTTCTGTCTACCTGTTCCAGTGAAATTGGAGAGACACACAGACACCTCTCGGCATTAGCTAACATACCACAGGCTTAGGGTCCATGGGGCTGGGGTCTGTGCTGTGGAGATGGGAGGGAGGGCAGGGATTCCTGCTTGAGCAGCGATGGGGGGTAGGGCAGGAGGAAGCCAGGCAGGCCCTGCTGTGCCTGCACTCTGTCGGAGCTCCAGGCAGGGAGCAGAGGGGAGGAGCCAGCCCTGCTCTGGAACAGAGAGCCCCACCCAGCTCAGAGAGCATGCTGGGATGCTGCAGGATTCCAGTTCATCTCAAACCAGTAAGGGGTCTGGGACAGACTTTGTATAACCTGGTTTGACCCAAATCACTTAAGTCTGATACTATGTTCAACCAGATTTATCTCAAACTGGTTTCAGCCATTTTCAAACTGGTTTATGTGCACTGAACATCTTTTCTGTTACAGGTTTAAACCAGTTCCTGATCACTTAAACCAGTTTATGTGTAATGTCTGTCCTTAGCCCTGATGTATAAAACCCCATATAAATAGGGAACATGCAACTGAATGACGTTGGAAAATGAAAACTAATACTCGTTGTAGGGGCTTCTGCTTAACATTCTAAATTATACCAACTTAAGCAGATCTCTGTGGTGTATGTACAGAGCTGAATAAAAATCTCTTAATTTTCAGGTGCAGCCAGAAAAAACCAAGCTTTTGGGTATTATCTTTAGCTAACTAGCTACTGTTGATAAATGGGTTCATGAATAATTTGGGGAGTATACCACTTGCAGAAATCTTGTGGTTTAGCTCTAGCTGACAGTATCTCAGCTAAGAGTGCTCAACCCCTGGCCCATGTTGCTCCCCAAGGGTACAGAAATTTGGCAGCATGGAAGTGGTAACAGTGTTAACTGCTGCAATTGGAAACCTCAGCAAATTATCACAGCCACTGCTCCTGTACTGCTAAATTTCTGGACCTGTGGCTGGATGACAGTCCCACAGGCAGAGTTGGATCCAGTTCATGCAGAATTGGGTCCACAGACTAACCCCACACACCATCTACATGTGGGATCTGGCCCATGAACTAATCCTGCATCACTCGTTCTGCCCATGGGGCCAGAAGGTTGGGCGTCACTGCTACAGGCAACACTGGTCACTTAATCTCAAAGAAATTTCAAAGCTGAAAAGGGTCAAGCAGACAGGCCATGAAAATGATTTAAAGTCCAGGGAGCAGTGACATGAAAAAAATCAAGAGGGCTTCCTTTGGAAGTGTGATAAAAGAATATTAAAAAAAGAATGGGATGGAGAATAGTATAAAGAATGATTAATGAACTTCTGCTCTCCCATCTTGTAATACAAGTATATGTTGGCAAAAGGCCTTCTCCTGCTTGGAGTGTCTCGAGAGCATAAAACACCTGAGTGATCTCTGAATAGAGTAGTAATATAAGAATTTGCATAAAATGTAAGGAAGTTCTGTCTACGTGGAAAGTTGTCTAATCAGGGTTGGCCAGCTCACGGCATGCATGCCACAGGTGGTATGGGCAGCATCTGTGCATGGCATGCAGCAGATTGAGGAAGGAGCAGAAAGTAGAGCTAGAGTTCAAGCAGGGGAAGGTGGTCAGGGTGGCTCTTAGGGAGGGCATGGATCTTACCTCATATCAAACCTAATTAAACACCCACTGGTTTTAAACTGTACTGTTTATGTTGTTTATCTTTCAAATAAGTAGATGGATTTCTGGCTGTGGGATGCCACCTAGCCAACTTTCATCATCTGTTTAAATAGGTTCTATTGCCCAAACTTGGCTTTAGCAGAGCATGTGGTACTGTTATTTCTGTCTATTTACACATCTCTCTGGATATTGTTGGAGTTACAGAAGGGAAAAATGTGAAAATAAAGGAAGGATAGATGTGATTTTGCCAGAATTATTGTCCTGGTTCACTATTTTCAGAGTTGTTCTGTTCTGTTCTGTTCTGCTTTTTATTAAAATGCAAAGTGAAAATGACCTTTATGTTGTTATAAAGAGCTGCACCTTGCATTTCTGATATTTTTGTCACCTTGTCTGATTTACCTCTTCACATATTTACAGCTATTCTTTCATTTACAAAGAGAACGTTCCTTTCCTGAACACAGAGCCAGATTTTATGCTGCTGAAATAGCCAGTGCTTTGGGCTATTTACACTCTATCAATATTGTATACAGGTAAGCAAAATTTCTAAATTTTATTCTTGTGCTGCATAATTATAAATGCAGCAACACAGATTATTGAGTGCAATCTTGTTGTAGAGCATAACATAGCCTTACTGATTCCTAACAAAACTTCTGACTACTGCTTAAGAATAGAAGCATGCCTCAACATGTTTAAAGATTTGTGTAAAAGTGACTGCTCATGAGTTTTAAGTTTTTAATGTAATTTCTTTGTTTTTAATAGGGATTTGAAACCAGAAAACATTCTCTTAGACTCACTGGTAAGTATATGTTTCTGATGTTCTGAATTATCCTTCTTACATGTAAGATAATTTATATTTGCTCAGCCTTAAATTTTTCTGTTATAACGGAATCTATTTGTTTTTTTTCCCTTTATAGGGACATGTTGTTTTAACAGATTTTGGGCTCTGTAAAGAAGGGATTGCTACTTCTGACACCACTGCAACTTTTTGCGGGACACCGGAAGTAAGTTAGCAGGCTCAGGGGTGATCTGATGGCCACCTATAAATTTATCAGGGGTGACCACCAGTACCTGGGGGAACGTTTGTTCACCAGAGCGCCCCGAGGGATGATGAGGTCGAATGGTTATAAACTACTACAAGACCATTTGAGGCTGGACGTGAGGAAGAATTTCTCTACTGTCCAAGCCCCCAAAGTCTGGAACAGCCTGCCATCGGAGGTGGTTCAAGCACCTACATTAAAGCATCCAATTTGCTCTTGAAGGTGTTCATCTTGCTGGGATCCTATGACCCCAGCTGACTTCCTGACCTTTGGGCTGGGTGCTGGACTCAATGATCTATGC